GACAAGACATCATACCCGAAACGTGTCGGTCCATCGATGCTCTACCAAACGTCGTTGGAAACGTGTCCGACGTCGTGTTTTTTCCATCAAGTAACCGACTTTTCTTAGCAGTCCCCTTCTCAACTCAAACCAACCGCACTCAAATTTGTGCTTTCTTTGTTGCATAAAAAGGACGTTGATTATGACAAATAGGAAAAAAAAGAGCATTTGTGCCATTCAGATGTAAGAATGAGTCCTTGTAGGAATCCTTTATGGCCTTACCTAACTCAGAGAGTAGTCAATTCTCATTTTTTTTGTTGATATTTTTTGGTGGATTGGAACTAAATGGTTATGGAAATTTCCAAGAAAGATCATATGGACGAAAAAAAAATGTTGGAAACTAATGACAAATTCCATTCAAATATTTGCTTTGGGTACTGGAAGATATATGGAAACTTAATTTGGTCCATTTGCTATATGGTAGAATTTTTGGTAAAATGGGTCGTCATCTTTCCACTTGCTTTTTGTCAAAACTTGGAATCTTTTACTCTTGTTGGCCAATCAACTATTTGTATTTGATTCACCTTTTATGACCAATATTAAACATTTGTCGAGGAAAATATATAAAATTAAAAGTTGATAGTGATAACCGATGATGTTTATTGGTTGGACCATACATCTTAATCGATAAAGATTTAGTGGATCATTACAAATCTCGTATTAATTGTTTGTGTTTTCATTTTTTTTTTAAATTTTGTTTATTATCATTTTTTTGCAGAATATCAAATCCTAATTAAAACCAACGATCAATTAATTTTATTTTTCATCTCCTTTTCTTTCTTCTCACTCAATTGCAGCACTAATTCATTCATACGAGACAACGTTCAAATCTTACATAATTTTCATAACCTAACTAATATCAATATCCATTTTCTTTGGTTGGAATTGGTTGGAATATTTTCAATGAACCATTGCAAAAATTAGGGGAAGAAAATTTCAATTTAAAGTTTCTTTTGTAGAATTTTTAGGTTTTGGATAATGTAGACACCGAATTTTATTCGAGTCTATATTTTTATAATTAAAAAAATTTTAATTAATTAAAAAAATTAAAAAAAATTAAAATTAAAAATTAAAAAAATAAAAATAAAAAAGAAAAAAGACAAACAGAAAATTCAAATAGAAAAAGAAATGGCTAGTGCCAGCACGTGCCGTGCATGGCACCACTAGCCACCCATGCCTGCCATTACCCCAGCCATCATACTACCCCTTTGTCCAGTCCCTTCACTCCGTCAACACACGCAACTACCGTTTCAATTATAAAAAAACACTCGATTCTCTCTCATTTCAGGCGAGCTGAAACTCTCGGATCCCCTCACCAGAACACTAGAAACACACTCCCTTACCAAAAATCTCTCAGACAAAAAAAACTCACCCCTCAAATAGCCAAATAGATCTACGAAAATCAACACAAAAAAAAAAAAATAAAACCATAAACCAAAACACAGTCCTCCCAGCAGGGAGGAACCCAGTGTCGAGCCACCTGCACCAAGAAAGAAAGGTTATTAGTTTGAGTTTAAAAAAAAAAAAAAGAATAGAAAACTTTGAATCTCGATCTACATTAATCGGAGCCGTTTCCGACGAAGAGGAGATCGGATTTAGAAAGATCATGTTGAAAGCAGCTTCCTGGTCACTTTTGAAATTTTCGGCCACCGACGACGATGGACCAGGCGACGGTCGACGCGGTGCTCTGACGGCTAGACGGTGAGACGGTCGGAGAAAACCCAGAACTCTAAGGAAATTTTTTTTTGGTCGAAATGGTGAAATGAGCTGGAAAAAAAAACCTGACATTTATAAAAAATATAAAAGCAAAAACGACGTTGTTTTGAGCATAGGGCCAAAACGACGCCGTTTCAAGCGTAAGAGGATTCGCACGTAGACCGAACCAGACTCGAGATCCACGTAAACCGACTCATCGACCTGCCTCAGCCAACCTCCAGCCGGTTCAAACGAACCACCAGTGAACCGATTGAACCGGTCGAACCGTTCCTTAATCGAATCGCGCATCGAACCGAACCTTTTTCGGTCCAATCGAACCGCCATTGATCGGTCCGGTTCAGGTAAAAAAAAATTTTTTTTTGAATTTTTGAATTTTTTATATATTATTATTTTTGTTATTTTAAGTATATTTTTTATATTTATGCATGATAAAGTTTAAATTTGTTAGGATAAGTTTTCTAATTGTTTTTAATAATAATAAAATGAAAACAATATAGGATAATAACTAAAAAAATATATTAAAATATTTAAATAATAATAATAATGGGATAAGCTTTTTATTTTTCCTGCTAGATGTTGGAGGAAATAAAAAACATTTTCCTAAAGAATAATTTCGCATAGATGTTGGAGAATTATTATTAACAAATTTTCATAAAAAATATATATATAAGAATTTTTTAGTTTTCAAAATTCATAAAAATCGAACTTGCTTCAAAAATTCGTCTAGATGATGAGAATTTTTAGAGATGTTCGCGTTTTAATTAAACCCCGAGCCCTAAACTTAAACCCTAAACCTTTACCCTAAATCTATTTTAAAACTTTAAGGATACACGTGAAAATCTCACATGAAATAGTTTGTTCTCAAATGCTGCCTAAATAATGGGGTATTTAGAAAATTTCATTTCATTAAGTTTTGCACACGAGTTCTTAATTCACATTAATAATAAGATTAATAAATAAAGAGCATAATAGTAAATTGAGATCTTAAATATAAACAGTCGCACTTAAATTCTGCCTAGATATTGGAGAGTCGCGGTGGTCTCATTATACTTAAGAATCTAACTTTAAAATTGTATTTCATTTTACATAACATTCATTAGCATACATACGTTAGCATGTTATCATCAATAATTATCTGTATTATTCTCTCTTTAATTTACTGTTCAATGATAAAATATTTTATAATAAAAAAGAATAATACTTTCAAAAATTTTTTTTTTGTGATATTATAAAATAAAATAAAAATAACATTCCGAAAGAAATAATTCTTGGTACTCTGCCTTAGATGTTGGAGAGTCACTAACAATTATTTTTATAAAGATTGTTATTTCATTTTAAGGATTATTGTGTTAAATCTTAAGCGAAAAGAGTTATTTTAAATTCTGCCTAGATGTTGGAGAATTTTAAGATAATTCTTTAACTTAAAGATTTTCTCAATATTTCTAAATAAAAATTTTAGCAAAATTTTATTTTTCCAAATGAAGGGAATTAGTGTTAAATTTTAAATTAAAATCATTTTTATCCAATATCGAAAATAGCACGTAATTAAATGGTACCAACTTATGGGCGTTATGGAGGTATTAATCCTTATCCACACGTAACCGACTCCTAAACCCAACCTAATTTTTGTAGACTAAAATTCATCTTTTGGATAAACTTTAAACCCGCTTTTATAGTTTTATTGAAAAGATAAATATTTAGGTGACCAATCACACTCTAACAAAGATTGGTGGCGACTCCTCTCATTTACTTCGATTTTAAAACTTATTTACGTCTGACAGTCCCAAAATCGTTACGACAGATAGTAAGGTTGGGCATTTATTATAAATTAGTTTAATTTTGTCTCATTTTTAAGGGTTCTCTTTCATTTGAAATTTTAATTTTCTTTCTAGTTCAATGGATCCAATGACCAATTACAAATAGGTCGGTTTGGAGATTAGATGCATGAATTTAGTACATGCAATTTTATGTGGTTGATGATTCAAACCTTGCATATATTTGACTCGAAAATGTGTTAATTCCTTTTTTTGTTCTCTTTTCATTCCTCATTAATGCTTCAAAATTTTGAGATTTACATTCAAATGAGGTTAAAAGAGACTAAACCTTGCATATATTTGACCTGAAAATATATTAATTTCCTTTTTGTTCTTTTTTCACTGCTTATTAGTGCTTCAAAATTTTGAGACTTACATTCAAATGGTATTAAAAGAAACTAAGTGACTAAAATTTTTATTTTATTATGCCTGAATCTTCTTTCTAAAAACAGTTAAATCTTTCATTAGAAATGAAGGAAAAGATTGAAAATTAAAAGAAAAAAATTATAATAAAAGAAAATCCCACATATATATAGTGTTTTAGGATTCTAATTATTATTCCTTCTTTTGGGATTAAGGATTGGCCTTTTTAAATAGACGTGTAATTTAATTGGTATTAAAATTATTCCTATTATGTTTTTGTATGTTATTAATAACTCTTTTTTTTGTATAAGGATAAAAAAAGTTCTCAAACAAAAATTAAATAATCATTTACGTTTTTAATATTTTGTTACAATTAATCAACTCATGAATTTTTTATTTCAAATCATTTGAATCTTTAAACATTTATTTTTATCTAATTGAACCTTGATACGTATATTTTTACTCAATTAAACTTTCAATTAAACGGAACAATTAAGTATTTTTCTTCTGATAAGGGTTTAATTGATAAAAGTAGATATTTGAGGATTTAATTGATTGAAAAAAAAAATGCTTGATGACTATTGAATTTTACATCAAGAGCTTTTTTGACTCTTTCGCTTTTTTCTTTTTGTAAACTTAGTTGGCTTATTATATTGCTGTATTTGATTTAGTCTTTGATATATTTATTTTTATCTCCATAGATTAAAATTTTGTTTTCCCAAATAAAAAAAAAAAAGGAAAATCCCCTCAGCAGTCCGGTTTATAAAGTTGGGCTCAAAGACCAATTTAGTAATTGAGGGTTGTTTCGGGGCTCGATGGGTCTATGTGGTTGACTGTAGTTTTATGGTTTGATTTGTTGGGTAATGGGCCTGTGGCTGCCTATTTCTTATGTCTCAAACCAAAAGGCCCAAAGAAATACTAGTTGTCATACTGTAGACTAGACTGATGGAGTCACTCGACTGTAACGGTGAACATAATCTCAACCATACATCATGACCACACTGGGTCCACCTCAATCAATAATAAATAGCAGTAACTAGAATGGACGGAACCGACTTGATTAGACCTTCTGCTACTAGAACAAAACTCACAGATAGGTAATAACATCGTAAGCCACCTCTTTGTCTCTGCTGTCTACTTTCTAGTTTACCCACCCTGTTTTTGAAGGAAAAACAGACACTCCCCAAGGGTCTTAATGAAAAGAATTCGCAATTAAGCTGCCAAAAAAAAACAAACAAGGTAGTTTTCTTTTGCTTTCCTTTTTAATTTGTTTATGTTCGTATTACTTGATTTTTTAACTGTTTTTTTTTTTTTTTTTCATTTGGACTGTGGTAGCTTGTTGGGAAAATTTATTTTGATGTTCCAGCTAGAAGTTTTACTAGCTTGATTGGTTTTGGGTAAGTTTCTGTCTTTGGAAATTTGGGTTTTTTAAAAATTATTTTTATGTATTTAAATTGTACTGTTTTCGAATTCAGCATTTCCTCTCACTCTGATTTCTCAGGTCAAGCTTTTTCTTCCAAAATTAAATAAAAAAATATTACTTTTTATTACTCATGATTTGTGGATCGGAGAATGTGAGTGGTGCTTATAGTGTAATTAGTTTGATTTACTATAGAATGTATTTTATTTATGTAACTTGACTAGAGATTGCTTTACTGTTTTCATGATATAGTTTTCATTTTACATTGTTTTGACAGGTTCTAGAACATGGTTGTCTTTTTAGGATTAAATGTTATACAGGATTTGTGTAAATTGCATCATTGTATTAGCTTCTGCTTGTTTTTAATTCTCAATGTTATAAGGCATTTATGCCTTTTTAGTGTTTTTAATCTACTTTTTTCCTTCAGGTATGTGAAGAGGAAGCAAGAGCTTAGGTAGTTGAGTCAGAATGGAGTGCAACTGCTTTGAGCCACAATGGCCTGCAGATGAATTGTTGATGAAATATCAATATATTTCTGATTTCTTCATTGCACTTGCTTATTTCTCAATCCCTTTAGAGCTTATATACTTCGTCAAGAAATCTGCTTTGTTTCCATATAGATGGGTCCTTGTTCAGTTTGGTGCCTTTATAGTTCTTTGTGGGGCAACGCATCTTATTAACTTGTGGACTTTTACAATGCATTCAAGAGGTGTGGAAGTAGTAATGACCACCGCTAAGGTTTTGACTGCTGTGGTATCATGTGCAACTGCCTTGATGCTTGTACATATTATTCCTGATCTATTGAGCGTAAAAATTAGAGAGTTATTTTTGAAAAATAAAGCTGCGGAGCTTGATAGAGAAATGGGTCTGATTCGTACACAAGAAGAAACAGGTCGACATGTTAGGATGCTTACTCATGAGATCAGAAGCACTTTGGATAGACATACTATACTAAAAACCACTCTTGTTGAATTGGGTCGAACTTTGTCTTTACAAGAATGTGCCTTGTGGATGCCGACATGTACTGGGTTAGAGCTCCAACTTTCCTACACTCTTCGTCAACAGAATCCAGTTGGTTATACTGTACCAATACATCTTCCTGTGATCAACAAAGTATTTAGTAGCAGTCATGCAGTAAAAATATCCCCAAATTGTCCAGTAGCTAGACTACGGCCTGCAGGGAAGTACATTCCTGGGGAGGTGGTTGCTGTCCGTGTCCCACTCCTACATCTCTCTAATTTCCAAATTAATGATTGGCCAGAACGATATGCTTTGATGGTTTTGATGCTCCCTTCAGATAGTGCTAGGCAATGGCATATCCATGAATTGGAGCTAGTTGAAGTGGTTGCTGATCAGGTAAAAATTGCCCTGTTTGCTTCTTAACCGAGTGTTGAATATTTTGTACCACCCCTTCCCAATTTTTATGCTTTTAAGTGTTGTTTTATCTGTTGAATCTTAAATTTAACTTCAGTTTTTTTGTGCATATCCATTGGTAGTATTCCAAAGTCAATTATATTTTTTCTGATGACCTATTGTAATTGCCTTGTGGTAATTGTAATAGCTATATGGAGTAGCTTCAAGGATTTATTTTATTTGACAAAGCTTTCTCTTTTCTTCTGCATTGTTTTTCCACTTTGCCAGAAGCCTAGGTTTTCTACCATTAGGAATTCACTCATAGGGGAATATTGCTGTTAAGTGTGCATATCCTTGGACACTGTTTTACTAGTCATTTATGGAATTTGGAGAGCTGGGTTGTTCTTGGGGTTTACTTCCTAAAACCTGACCAAAAAATGAAATATTTTCACTGAAATTATTTTTCAGGATTTTAGATATTTGCAAGGTGTGTCAAAATAACTTAAAATTGATTTGTTTATTATAAAGGGAAGAAAGACAATATCACTTAAGAAAATGCAGTAATGAAGAGCCTTTGTCTAAGGATTTTACATGCCCTTATTTTAGGAGGGGTATTTTGAGGTTGCTACGAATGTGCTTATTTGTTTTGGAGCTAGTCTGCCACAATAAATACCTATTATTGTAATTATCAGATGTTAGATTTGATTCAGAGATTCTTTCTGCTTTCTCTATTCTTCATCTATTACTGTTTTCTCCCTTCCTCTTCTCTGTCTCTTTGCATTCTGTTCTATCTCTTATTGCCACATTCTGTTGTTTTTCCTTATAGCTACTTGCTGCGGATAAGTTTGTCATTAAATTGCTACTTATGTTCCAGATTCAATGTTGCTAAAAGCCCTTATTTGTAAATTTGCATAATGAATTCAGGTGGCTGTTGCCCTTTCGCATGCTGCAATTTTGGAAGAGTCAATGAGGGCTAGGGATCTTCTTATGGAGCAGAATGTTGCACTTGATCTGGCCAGAAGAGAAGCAGAGACAGCAATCCGTGCTCGAAATGATTTCTTGGCTGTTATGAATCATGAGATGAGAACCCCAATGCATGCAATTATTGCTCTATCTTCTTTGCTGCAGGAAACTGAGTTGACACCTGAACAGCGTCTAATGGTTGAAACGATTCTTAAGAGTAGTAACCTTCTCACTACTCTAATAAATGATGTATTGGATCTTTCAAGGCTGGAAGATGGCAGCCTTCAACTAGACCTTGAAACTTTTAACCTTTATGCTTTATTCAGAGAGGTAGAATTTCATTTTCCTATGGCTTTTGGAAATTTCTAAAATGCCGCTGGGTTTTTGTCATTCTAGTAGTGTGCATTTATTGCGTTGTAGGTCCTTAACTTGATCAAGCCCATTGCGTCTGTTAAAAAGCTGCATGTTTCATTAAATTTGGCTCCAGACTTGCCAGAATATGCTGTTGGTGATGAGAAGCGCCTTATGCAAACAATTTTAAATATTGTTGGTAATGCTGTGAAATTTTCAAAGGAGGGCAGCATTTCAATCACTGCTTTTGTTGCAAAATCAGAATCACTGAGAGATTCTCAAGCCCCTGAATTTTTCCCTGTGCCAAGTGATAATCACTTTTATTTGCGTGTACAGGTTGGTGCCATTGTTGGCAGTTGTATTTTTCTGCCTTAGTCTGCTATCATCGTATCTTAGATGTTGGTAATGTTGATTCTTCTTTGCTTCTGGTGTAGGTGAAAGATTCAGGATCAGGGATTAGCCCCCAAGATATTCCGAAGTTATTTACCAAATTTGCACAAACTCAATCAACAGCAACACGAAATTCTGGTGGCAGTGGACTAGGGCTTGCAATTTGTAAAAGGTACGTTCTTTTTTTTTTTTTTTTTCTTTGCATTTACCATCATCTATGGTTGTACTGATTTGTCTACAGAGGCAGTGTGTTTTGAATTTTTAGCTGTCATTCTGATGTTTTAACTTTTTTTATTGTGATCAGGTTTGTAAATCTAATGGAGGGGCATATTTGGATTGAGAGTGAAGGTCTTGGAAAGGGATCTACTGCTATCTTCATTGTAAAACTCGGTATCGCAGATCGCTTGAATAAATCTAAACTTCCCTTCATGTCTAAGGTGTCAACAAATCATGGTCTGACAGCTTTTCCTGGGCTTAAAGTGCTGGTTATGGATGAGAACGGGTCAGTTCTATTGTGTTCATTTTAATCCTTATTTATTTAATTAATATGTTTTCAAATCATATTTCTAGTTACAGATAATAAGATCTGTATGGTACTGGTGCTTGTTAATTTTTTAGTTACAAATTGTTTTCATGTATGCTTATTCTATGCATTATTTGTAAATTCACAATGTCGAAAATCAATAGTTTTGCTTGGTGTTGTTATGATTGCACATGATACTATATAGTCTTTTTTTTTTTTTTTCTGGATTTTGTTGTATCCTGTTTACTGCTATTTTCTTCTTCCTGCATGTCATGTGAACGAACATTGAATTTTTTTTTTTTAATGGGGTAATGCAGGGTTAGCAGGATGGTGACAAAGGGGCTTCTTGTGCATCTAGGGTGTGATGTTACAATGGTAAGCTCGAGTGATGAGTGTCTGCGTGTGGTTTCTCAGGAGCACAAGGTTGTTCTCATGGACGTTTGTGTTCCTGGTATAGATGGTTATGACATCGCCATCCGCATACGTGAGAAATTTACAAAGCGCCGTGAAAGGCCATTACTAGTGGCGCTCACTGGAAATACAGACAAGGTGGCTAAAGAGAACTGCATGAGGGTTGGTATGGATGGTGTTATATTGAAACCTGTTTCACTTGATAAAATGAGAAGTATTCTATCAGATCTTTTGGAGCACCGACTTCTTTTTGAGGCAATATAAGCACGAAGAATATCGGAGACTGACCATGTCAGGGTGAAAATGAATAAAACGAGGAAGACGATGAAAGAAATTCTCTGGATGGTTCTGTCCATGTACATACCACGCAAAATCAGAGCACTACAAGGGAAAATGATGCATTTGCTGCGAAGCATATAAAACAATTGGTGTGCCAAAATGAATTTTTGTGTCTTCTCTTGTGCAACAACAGATTTTATAGCAAGTGCTGCAAATAGGTTGTCAGGAACTAAGTCTGTTGTAGATCAGTTAAATTAAAACGGTACTAGCAAAACACTCTGTGCGTGGTCATAATTTTTTTTTTGTTCTGTCGTATCTAATTAATTTATTTTTATTGAAAAATTCATCTAATTTAAAAAATAAGCTTATTGTAGATCAGATAAATTAAAACCGTACTCGCAGAACATTTGGTGCGCGGTCAAAATTTGTTTGTTTCGTCGTCTTTATTTAATTATTTTTTATTCTAAAATTTGTTTAATTTAAAAAAATCGAAAGGTAACAAAAATAAAAACGAATGGGTCTAATATGTGTTTATTTTCATTGGTCTTATTTTTTTTAACAAAAGTTATCTAATGTTTTAAAATAAAAAAGTAAAAAGATTAAAAAAAGGAATAAAAATGAAAAGAAAAAGCAAAGAAATAAAAAAAAAGATCTTATATAAGATGCTATTTGGATATTTTTGTTAAATTTTAAAATATTAATTTTTTAAATTAAAGTATCAAATAATTATTTTCTTAAAATATCAAATAATCATTTTATTAATATAGTACATATATAAAATTAATAATAAAACATATATTTTTATATATACTTCAAAATTAGTCGGATAAAACACCTAAAAATGCTTTTGTTCCAATCTCCTCTTTGTTTTTCTTTTTAAAAAAAAACCGAAATGTTTCGATTTTACCTTGATTTAAAAAATTTTAAACCTTTTATCTAATTGAGATGGATCAAATTTATCAAATATAAATTTTTTTTATATCTCTATCAACCAACACAATTTATTCTAAAATTAATCTAATAAAATATTCTTTTAAAAATCCAAAAGAAAAAAAAGTTAAAATAGAGTTATGACATGAACACCTCAATTAACTTCTTTTTTTAAATTGAATTAATTTAAAAAACTTAAAAAATAGATTTATTAAATTAAGGTATTAAATCATGATTTTATTAATATAATACACTATTTAAATAAAAAAAAATAAAATAATAAAAATAAAGTTAAATCAAGGATTTAAGAAGATATTGAAAAAAATTAATTATATTATCAAATGAAAAATATCAATATATTTGAATCAAATAAAAAATTATCAAATATTGAATCAATAATATTAAACGGATCCCAATTTTTTAAAAAATTTTAGAATATTTTAAAAAAATTATTATAGATACATAATATGTGCTTAGCATTAAGGGGATCATACAAAAAAAAATAAATTCATTAAAATATTTATAAAATATAAAAAAGAAAATAATAGAAAAGAGGAAAAGAGAACCAAAAAAGCAAACATGCATAATATAACTGGTATTAAATGGGTCCCATAAAACTAAATCTAAAAAAGAAGACTAAAAAATCAAATCCAAAATGTGATGTCAATAAATTCGTCATTTTTTTTGAAAAAATTAAAATAAAAAATGAAAAAAAATATTTTAATAATAATATAATATCAATCTTACATTTTTAAAAATATTACAATTTTTTATTAAATATATAACGAAAAAAACTAAATATAAAAAAATTAAAAAGTGAAAAAGAAAAAAATTAAATAACTTAATATGTGATGTACCATTAAGATTAAGTCCTAAAAAATGTAAAAAAATTATTTAATAAATATATCAAAATAGAAAAAAAAATAAAAACTGAAAAAAAAATGCAACATACTTTTGATATAAAAATAAAAAAATATAAAAAGTTTATCGAATCTTCTAAAAAAATACATAAAATTTAATATTAAGTTGATTATTTAAAAAAAGATAATTATTAAAACATTTAAAAAAAATAAAAATTCTACGTGATATTAAAAAAATTTAAGAAAAATACAATTCAACAACAAATTTTTTTAAAATGATCTCATTAAAAATTTTTAATAAAATCCATAAAAAATTACAAAATCAAAGTGCGAGTGAAAGAAAATTACAAAATAAAAGGTTTTTATTAAATATAATAAATAATAAATAATTTAAAAATAAAAAATTGGGTGAAAAAAATCAAATTGTGGATCTCACAAATCAATTTAAGAAATGTTGGGCCCACAACATTTAGAAGTTTTAAAAGAGTGAATCTCACCAACTAAAAAACAAAAAACCAAAAAGATAAAAAATTGTTCCACAATTTAAAAAAGTAAAAAAAAAAAAAGAATCTCGCAAATAAAAAACCGATTAAATAAAAAAATTAAATCCATACCTTAAATAAAAAAAGATGTGGACTCCACATCCTTTAAGAAAAAAATTTTAAAGAGGTGGGATCTAAAAAAATAAAGAAAATTAAAAATTAAAAGGATGTTACGTGGCAGGCCTCATGCCCAACACGTGATTGCCATAAATCTACGGCATTTATATATAGAATTTTAGGAATGATTTTATTTTTTTCCAAGTCATGCAATTTCCTTTAGGTTTAAAATACTACTCAGAACCAACCTTGTAATTAAATCCACATCTCAGACAAACATAGACATCATCAGTCAAATGTTATGCATTGACACATTTTTACCAAATTGCCACTCAAAGAATACACTTAAAAATTGCAACTCAAAGAATACGTTTGCATCTCAACCACCCACATTTTCCATATAACAAGACTTTCGTTCTTCTGCTGAATAAGCTTAAGAAGACTTTCTATTTCTTGTTATGTTATAAATTTACGTTCTTTCTGAATACTCCCTCAAGAAAATCATACACAAAAAAAAAAAAAAACCACAAGGAAAGATGGGGTTGCTTGTATGGCTCTTTTAAGTTTCTCAGCTTTCCATTGTTGATTCTTATGTTTTCCCAGGCTATTTTTTCATCAGTGTCTTTCACTTCTTCTGTGCACTTGTGCCCTCCTGATCAGAACCTTGCCTTGCTCCAATTCAAGAACGTGATTTCCTTAAACAACTGTTCTTACCAGGGTCCATTTATAAGAAATCTATCCGGGATGAAACCAAGAAAGATTCTGTCTATGAAGGAAGGTACTGATTGTTGTTTATGGGATGGGGTTTCCTGTGATAATGTAACAGGTAATGTCATTCGCCTAGACCTTGGAAGCTGCCAGCTTTATGGCACAATCGATTCAAACAGCAGTCTCTTTCTTCTTTCTCACCTTCAAAAGCTTAACCTGGCTGACAATGCCTTTTGCATGTCTCAAATTCTTTCAACAATCTCACAATTAGCTAGTTTGACACATCTTGATTTATCTAATTCCAATGTTTCTGGTTCAGTCCCACAAGAAATATCCCATCTTGAGTTATCTAATTCCTCCTCGTGGGACAACACAGTCAAATATTGTAAGGTTGAGGGCATTTCTAATTATTCCAAATAGCAACCAATGAAGACGCTTACACTTGGCAAACCACACAAATATGCTACGATTAGATAAAGCCAACGAAGACTTTGCGTTTTATGTTGAATAGTTTCCGAAGACTTTCCATTACTTAAGTATTATTTTCTAAATTTACATTGTTTATGATAACATTTTCTGCTTTTCGATTTTGGGGAAATTAAGATGGAGATGCTGGTATGGCTCTTACAATTTCCAAGCTTTCTGTTTTTTTATTTTGCTCTCCCAAATAGTTGCCTTTTCATCAGGGTCCTCTTCTTCTTTGCACTCGTGCCCTTCCTGATCAGAACCTTGCATTGCTCCAATTCAAGAACATGATTTCTTTAAATAACTGGTGTTCTTTTCAGGGTCCATATGTAGGAAATCCATCTGGGAACATACCAGGAAAGATTATTTCTTGGAAGAAAGGTACTGATTGTTGTTTCCTGTGATAATTTAACAGGTAATGCCATTGGCCTGGACTTGAGAGACTGCCTCGATTCCAACGGCAGTCTCTTCTTTCTCACCTCCAAAGGCTTAACCTGGCTGACAATGCCTTTGCATGTCTCAAATTCCTTCAATGATCTCACAATTAGCTAGTTTGCCACATCTTGATTTATCTAATTCCGACCTTTAAGGTTCAGACGCTCAAGAATATCCGATCTATCCAAACTTGTTTGGCTTGATCCCTCTTCCAATCGTTATTTATACTTCGAAAGACCTGCTATGAAAGATTGGTTCGAAACATGACCAATTTGAGGGATTTATCACTCAATGGAGTCGGAATGTAGTTGCACCTCCTACGTCGGCCAGTTTGTCTTCTTCTTTGGTCTCTCTCAATCTAGAGTTCTGTGATTTGGGTAATAGTAATGGAGGAGAATTTCCTGTTAATATATTCCTGTTACCAAACATGCAAATTGCTCCCGTCATCGTACAATCCTAAGGTGAGAGGTTATTTTCTGAAGTCTAACTGGACTAGTCCCCTGAAGTTCTTGGAAATTTTGGGCACAGGATTCAGAGGAAAAATACCCAATTCTATTGGGGGTTTGAAGTCTTTGGAACATTTATTTCTGGAAGGCAACTTCGCAGGAGAATTACCCGCTTCGATTGGCAATTTAGTGCCCTTGAAGCACGTGATTCTTGCAGGCCGTAATTTCACAGGGTCTATTCCTGTATCAATCGGAAACCTTACAAAAATCACTGAGATTCAACTCTCCAATTACAATTTCAGAGGTGAGCTCCCATTATCACTTAGCAAACTTGGAACATCTTAACGTTTTTATTTCTTGAAAATAGCAACTCCCATGGTCAAATTCCAAATGTTTTCACAGTTCTCACCAAGCTGTCTATTCTTAATTCTTCGATTCAATAATTTCAGTGGCCAGTTACCATTTTCTTTAGTCAACCTGACAAAGCCTGTTCATGTAGACTTTTCAGATAGTCAACTTACAGGTTCATTCCACCATCTATAAATAGTGATGCAGGTTTGGTTTCCCCAGACATATCCCGTAACTTATTCAAAGGAACAGTGCCATTTTTCTTGTCTCTTATTCCATTTTTACAAAACTTGTATCTTAGTTGTAACTAACTAGATGGTTATATCGATGACTTTCATGTCAACTCATCACAGTTGGTTGATGTTGATATAAGTCATGGCCTTTCGAAACTTAGGATGGTACAACTAATCTCTTTGATTATTTAGAATTTTATAAAACTAACATGATGATGTAAGAAGCAAACGAGGTTTTCATTTGTAAAGGACTAACAACCACACTCAAAGAGCTAATTCGGTCTTGACATTGTAATTTGAAATCGAGGTCTATTACTATTTTTAAAGAGTTTAACCATTCTTTTCTAACTCAATTTTAAGTAAAGAAAAACTAAGAAAATAACTTCAAGCTTGATGTCTATCCATCAAGGTAGAAATGAGTTTCTATAAGATTACATTATGCATTTTATT